CAAACCGTGACACCAAAGTATCGAACCGAACCGAACCATGAATTTTGTGTATCGTTGCACCCCTAATATATATATATATATATCTATGGTCCTTATGCAACTACCTGCTGCTGGCTGTGGCCTGCAGGCATAAGCAAAAAGCCCCCACAGAATAAGTGTATTTTTCAAGCATTGAGTTACTTGTTTTTAGAATCTTTGTTTCTCACAGGAATGAATACCGTACCAGCTAGCTTGATATGTGTACAGACCTTAAAGTTTGACCCCTCGCGCTGATAAAATAGAATCTCCCATCGCAGGCATCAAAGATAAACAAGTGTAGCCTGGAGGAATTTTGACTTCATGTCACCGCTGCAACACCTCCACCTTTTGATGGGGGCTTTTGTCTTCCTCTGAGTGTATGGAGAGCTGACATTTGGAGGGTTTTCTTCCAACAATAGAGTGTAATTTGCAATGGAAATGTAAATGGTCCACCACAGTGAGGCTAGTGACTCATAAAGGCAGTGTTTTCATCAGACATTAGCAAAAGTGGCGCCCTGCCTGGCTCAATTCTGTATCAGTGCAAACCTGCTCCATCAGTGGGCAGCACAATGCTGCCAGACGAATGAATTGGGAACGGTAAATAGACAAAGGCCGCACATTTCTGGGTTTTAGGCGATGCTTTGCATTTCCAGATGGCTGACCAAACCGCCACTTATTTCTTTGCCCTCACCTTCTCTGTTCCCACTAGTGATTGCTGAGGAGGATATAGAGGCAGTGGAGGAAGGAGTATTTGATGTCCATCTATAACCAGGTGAGAGAGGTGCACTTTGACCGCTTATTTGCTGTTTAATAGATAATTGTTTTATATGTTTTTGCTGATTAGTTGTGTTCCTAATTAATTAAATGAGTTCATAGCTTCCATTTTGACCTGGAAGAATTCTTGTTGTCTGTAAAGCCAGCAGGACCTGACACAGTCTGTCAGCTACCACAGTAACTATTATAAGTCTGGCTATCAACCTGTAGCTCTTTCACAAATAACAAATTGTGTGGCATTAATTAATTAGCTACAGAGTTGCTGGTTACCTTCAAACATGCGTACATATTTCCCAGTTTGCTGGCATAACTCATTTCTCTTCCTGTTAAAGCCATGTAACCCATGCAACCGCACAGAAAACACACCAATGTGTTGTCGTTTAATCCCTTTCTGGCTTGAAACCTCAAATGAAAGTTCACTTCTCTTCTCAGCTTATTCCCACAGAAGTGAAACTAGTTTGAGTTTGACAAAAACAGAAAGCATCAGAGTGCATAAAAAAGGACCAGATATGGTATTGGAGATCATCCCGGATATCTCTGTGAGAAGTAAACAAATGTGTGGAGGTTATTAATACTGAAATAATAATGATAATATTTACTCCTTTAAGATCACTCGTCTTTGACTTTACAGATGTAGTGCATTAAAATCGTGCACATTTCCACAGTATTTCACACCAAGTTACACACAGGGAATGTCAGACTCGTGCCTGATTTGCTTAGTTCGTGGTCTTCCCTTGCAGAGAGACAGTGCAATTATTCCCGTTTCCCACAGCCTTTACACAGCATCGTCTGACTGTCAGTGTACGACAAATCTTTGCAGGAGTCTTGAACTGAAGAGTGGTTTTGATGAACAGGCCGGTGACAGATTTTGGCACTTTTTTAGAATCCCTCCTACGGTCGGTGTTCGAGAAGCCAAATCAGCCCCTTTCGAGAGTGAGATGGAGAATGTGCTACAGTGTGTCAGATTTACAGCGCTGAGGAGAAATTGCACTGAACAGGATCCAGGATACCTACATGCTGCCACACGGTGGACACACGCTGCAGCAGCACCCCTCTCTGCCCGACTCACAGGAATGTGACGACCAGTGTGAACCGAATGTCTCTGTATGATTTCTATGAAAAAAAAAAAAGATGTGCATTTTGATTCTGTGTCGGCCATGAGTGTTACTGTAAAATACTTACTAAATACTTACTCTCTCTATATATATATCTATATCTATATATATTTAAAAGAAAATCCACAAAATTGTATTTTCTTGGTGAAATGTTCACGTCAGTGGAGTTTGTAAATTTGAGCACACTGCAGATTGGCGCAGTTTTCTTTTCTTTAAAACATAAAAGAGGTGCTGTTATTGCCAAGAATGTAAAGCTGCCACCCAGACTAAGCTACAGTCTCCTTTAAGTGGGAAGCTCAACTTTCCCCCCCTCTCCTTTTGTTTGTTGTTTTGAAATACATTTCAGCGGACCAATAATAGGACCAATTTTGATGTCAGATAAAATATTTGTGGTGCCCGTCTGAAGTGCGATGACAACGGCAGCAAAGGAAACAGCTGAAAGCACCGTGGCGACGGCTGTAATTAGGATGGACTTTAATTAATGTTCTGTTCTTCGTCACGTTTACCTGAATATCAGTAACTATAGTTATTGCGGTTGGTGTTATTTTCAGTATAGAGTACTGTCTTGTACCAGTGCAGTGACAGGTGACCCATCCTCCTGCAGTACTGTGAATGTAGCAGAAACAGGAATGCTGCTGTCACATGAAGAAGCCCATTTTTCTTTCCCAGTAAATGCGTTGAGAGCATTAAAGAAAAAAAATAAATGAAATAATCAAAAGAACAAGATTAGAACTGGAGCCGTTTTTATTTGACAGCAGCTTCTAAAAACATTTTCCTGAGAAGTTTCCATGCAAGTTGTATTTTTGCTGTTTATAATCTGCATGCTTCTTCCTTCTTGCTCGTATTCTCCTGACAAATATTTTTTCTATTTTTAAATTTGTAACTTTTTTTTTACGTAGCACGCCAACTTTTCGTTTATTTAGCAAGTATGATGTCTTGAAATTCCACACGGAGGAAATGTTTCTGTCTCTTGGTGCCTGTGGAGAGATGACTTCAGACTTTGAGTGGCGTTTGCTTCAACTGCCAGTTTGTCGCTGAATGAGGCTCCTCAGTTTGCTGGTATTTATTTTTTTGGTAAAAAAACAAACAAACAAACAAAAACGAATATGCCTGTCCTGTGCCACTCCTTGCCTGACGATTGGATGTTTGCTGTTATTCGGAACGATGTCATGCTATTCCTCGTGGTCTGTTTCTACATGATTCCTCAGTATTAAATGCAGCAGACATCTTTCTAATATGTGTTCTTGTTATGAGATTCTGTGACTAATAATAATAATAATAATACTAACAGTAAAATTTGTCTTGTTTTAGTCTTCTTTTCACTTTGTATGCTGAATCTAAGGTGTATTCACATAAATCTTTCTCTACTTTTACTTGAGCAGAGAACACTTCTTAAAGATGGTTTGATTACTTAAACTTTGTGCTGTTATTATAAATACAGATAATGTTTCATAATGAAAGCTGGCGATTTTGGTGAAGAAGAAATTCTTTTTTTAAAAATTGAACAATTCTGTCAAGTAAAACATCAAAGATATTATTTCACAATTCATAAAAAGGGAGCTCTTTGTTGTTGTTGTTGTTAAAGAGGTTTAGCAGAGTGAAGGTGTGAAATTATCTAGTTAACACTAGCTGCAAACATGCTTAACTTCAGAACACTTACTCACATTTAATACAAAACGGCCCAGTTTAATGTAGCATGTATGGCCTGCAGCACATTAAAACATCAATGCAACATTTTTCTGCAATTCCAAATTCAAGTGTTTTCCAACAGAGAGTTTAACAGCAATTGAAAAAAGGTCTTTGAGATATTGCACCTATTATGGTCCTAGTTTTTTAATGTACTGCATAAACTGTTGGATATATGCGCTTAGGGTATATACAAGCAACCCATGTGACTCAAAAGCTTTATTTTCTACTCTTGACTCTGTGTGATGTCAGTGGATAACCCTAATAAGGTCATTTTTGGGCACACAGCTCGTTCTGTCAGTTGGCTAGGGAAAGGGTTGTGAGCTAAAGTCACTCGAGTCACACTGACGGCCTGCACCACACCCCGGTGTGAGGTAAATAAGGATGAGCCATGGCTCATTTGGCTGCCCGAGTCAAATTTACAAAAAAATATGGACCTGGAAATGAGCACAATAGGTCCTTTTTAACAAAGCAGGATACTACTGTACTACTGTACATTTCATTCACCCTTCATGTGACCATGATCCAGTGCCCTCTGCTGCCTGTCCATTATAGGCATTAATAACCAGCCCTGAATGAGCCTCGGAGTCAGTGCCACATGTAATTATTCTCTGAGATGAAGTCAGTCGTGGCGTCTGATTGCACAGCCCTTGCTCCGTGTTTTCTGTAGACTTTCTGTAGCCACTGGCTCGGCTCATATCTCATCCCTCCTGTCATCATGCTGCTAAATGCTCTCATGAGGGACTGTGCCAAATAAAAACGAGCTGATGAATTGGAGAGGTGATGTGTTGATAACCTGGCCTTTAGACCTTGGTCTATCACGCACAAGAATAGTGTCACGAAAAAGGATTTGCTGCCATCTGGATTTCTTTGACCTTCAAATATTTCACATCCTCAAAAAAAATCTAAATCAAAAAATGAGACAGAGATCATCCAGAAAAAAATAAAATGCATTTTTTGAATGATGATCTAATTTATTAAGCTATGAGAAAAAGTAATTGCCACCTAAACTTAATACCTGGTTATGCCACCCTTGGCAGCAAGAACTGCAATCAAGCCCTTGCAGTAAGTGGCAATGAGTCTTTCACATCGCTGTGGAGGGATTTTGGCCCATGCTTCTTTGAAGAGTTGTTTTCATCCAGCCACGCACACCACAAGATTTTGAATGGCCAGTTTGGAGTTATGCTAAAACAGCTCAATCAATTTCTTTGAGCCATTCACAGCTGGACTTGCTGGTGTGTTTCACTGTCCTGCGACACAACTCAGGTGTGCTTCAGGGAACAAATTGATGGTCAGACATTCTCCTTTAGGATTTTTTGGTAGAGGGCCAAATTCATGGGTTCATCATGGTCCAGGTCCATCATGGTCCCAGTCATGGTTCAGGTAATGAAGCAGCAAAGCAGCCCCACACCACCACAGTACCGCCACCATGTTTGACTGTTGGTATGATGTTCTCTTTGCCAAATGCTGTGCTAGTATTAGATAATTTTGACCCAATCTCTTTCTTATTGTCGAATCATGAACACTGTGAGGCCTGCAGCTCTTTAGATGTTGCTTTGCGTTTGTGACCTCTGGATGAGTTGTTGATGCGTACGTTTACACTCCTGGGAAGGTTCACCACTATCACCAGTGCACTACATTTGCAGATAATGGCTCTAACTCTGGTTTGTTGGAGTACCAAAGGCTTAGAAATGGCTCTTTAACCCTTTCCAGACTGGTTCTTGAGTTTCTTTAGATTGTGGCATGATGTCTTCGAACATATGTCGATCAATGACTGATACATCCCATTCAGCTACTGAAAAGCAGCTTTATTAGATCTTTATTAGCCTTCTTCACTTTGTCAGACAGGTTCTATTTAAGTCATTTCTTGATTCAAACAGGTCTAGCAATAATCAGGCTGGGGTGTGGCTAGTGGAAATAATCTAATTTGTTTGATAGTCTGTAACATTTAAGCATGACAAGGGGCAAATACCACCTTGTACTGTAGATGCATTCAAGTTTAAGCACATTACCGTGCTACTGTGATACATTCAGCTTATGTAGCCACTTGTTCCACCAGCAAGAAGGTCCAATTAATGATATTCAAACCAAAAAAAGTTTTTGTACCCATTTTCTGTACCTTTAAACTAAAGTAATGAATGAAAATCCGAAAAAGAAAGGAGACTCAAAGCAAAATTCAACAGACTCCACACAAGCAAATAAATGACCTTGATAATGATGATAGTGAAACCATTGTTCAAACTTGACGTTAGCACAATCTCCTCTTTAAAAATCACCCAGTGTCCCCCGTATTTGTGTGACTGTTTTTGCAAAGTCTCTACAACCGCTCATCAAAGTGTGTGTGTGTGTGGCCATCGCCGACTACAGCTCTCAAACATCTCTTTTAGCTCAGTGACTGATGCCTCCCATTCAGCTATTGAAAAGCCCCTACCAGCAGTGCAGCTACTTAGCCAGGAGCCTGAGCAATATCGATCTACAAAGTCTGAAATGAGGGAAATTGAATAGCACCACAGCTAATTGTATAGTAATGAAGGCAGGAGGGGAAATAACCTCGTGCATTGTTCACGCTCTCACACTGTGACCTTGATTGCAAGGAAAGAAAAGACTCGAGGGCCTGAGAGCTAAAACACATTCTAGCTAAGACCCCCTCCCCCCACCCCCAGCTGATGTTCAATTAGACAAAGATTCGACCCACAGCCCCCTGATAGACTATAGAGGCATATTGGTTCCTAGTTATTGGCATTTATTCGTTACAGTTGCCAGAAATAAAAGATTATCATGTATGGAGAGAAGGATGTGGCGCAAAAAGTATCCACATGCAGTATTGATTTTTTTTGCCTCTTTTGGGCAGCAGATCACTCTCAGATTTGCTCATGTAGGACTAATGAACAGATCATTGATTCCATGTCTGCTCATCAAAAACTGGGAATGCAGCCAAGCTCTGTGATTATTTGACGTCTGCTCGTCTCTTTGAGTCCCACAGTGACACCTGCATCTGCAGCGCCGTCCCCTTGTGCTGCACTGACTGCAAGCATCTGGAGCTGTTAACCTTCTGCCAAACCGGGGTCATGGCTGCTGTGTGCCACTTGGTGGCAATGTTGAGCTATTGTAATAGAGCACGCAGCGATGTAGGGCTCCTAGCAGTGAGGTGGGAACCGTGCCAGTGATGTGACAAAAACAGAGCCACTGTCAGGGGTTCATGGTGAATCACAATGCAGCATCACAATGCAGATAACGGCGCTGGATTCCTCTGCCTTTTATATGTTTTGTCTCGTAAAATGCAATAAGATGAAATAAAATAACATTTTTAAAACTGCCCAAGAAGATACATACTGTAAATAAAATAGACTGCTACTTCTTTATAAGCAGTCACTCATACATGTATTTCGTATTCACCTGCACACAGACAAGCAATAAATAAATAAATAAAAATACCCTCAGAACCGTTTCAGCAGACACATGCTAGCTGTGTCTAATATGTTTTCACCCCACAGCTTGCAGGTGTCTCTGCAGAGAAAAACGAGTGAGTACATGTGTTTTATTCAAAGAAACCACGTATGTATTAAAATTGCATCCACAGATGTCCCTCGCTCAAAGTAATCTTTAAAGTCAAACAGCATAAATGAAGTTGATGCCAAGTAAAGCAAGTCAAATAGGTTCCAGCGAAAGCGCCTCGAGCGCCTGAGCGCTGCTTATCTGGCTCGACATTTTTTTTAAAAAGCAGCCGGGCAAACAGTCCCTCGCAAAGTCGAAGCGGCTCAGTCAGGCTGCAGCCTTAATTGCATTAAGATCATTGCTGACTCTGGTGAAGCACTGGGCACTGTAGGGGGTTGGGATCCTCATTAGAGGAGAATCAGTTATGATGAATATTGCTTTAAGAAAATTTGACTTTCTCCAGAGAGACCCAGTGGGATGTGGCCAGGACCTGGTGTAACTTTAAAAGAATTAAAGAAACACTTCTAATGTCTGGTACATCTCTGCAGTTTCAATACTCTCAAGGCTTTTTTTTTTTTGAGAAGAGAAGAAGACAGCCAAGTAGCCAAGGTTGTACTCAAATGCCATGTAAAATCAGCCTCAGCTGTCTCAAGACGTAAGATGAGAGACCAACTGAATCCTTAACCAAAGGGAAATATCAAGCTACCTGTAAACAAGGAGTCATTCCAAATGAGAAACCTGACAACCTTTCACCTCTTCTCCCATTCTTGCTGGGAGAAGTCTCATTTAGCCATTGCTGATACCAAATCATGTTGCTGCGGCTTTGAGGATTGACACCAAGTCAATAGCATTGCATCTGCAGTGGGGGACGCCTCGCATATTTAATATTCCTAAAGCGGCGGTACAGGGAGGAGGAGGAGAGGCAGGGAAGCACACCTCAGCAGCAAACTTGTTTTGACTGATAGACCCGCAGATTGTATCTCGTGACCCTGGCATCACCGATAGCGGAGCATCTGAGACTTATCTATGTATAACCTGAACAGCCGGGTCACCGTTGTTGCTAAGGGATCCCTAAAAAAAAAAAAAACCCGCTGAAGGAACGACAACAAGCTTATCCCTGGATGTACTTTACAGTCCCCATGCCTTTCATTCCCATGGTGTTTTTGAAGATTATA